ATTTGAATCTCTAACTTTGCAAAATTTATATAGTTGTGTATAATTAGAGCATATTTGGAAATTAACATTTCTGTTAGATAGCTACACATATGCCATTGGGAAGTAAACATGAACTGATCTTTGATGAAGGTTACTTAATCATATCATTTTAATAGCATTTAAATTCTAGTCAACAAACCATTCATTAATTAAATTATTTTTTAAAGGGAATTCAAAAAATCGTCAGTGGAAACTGGCTTTAATGTAACCAGCAATCCTGTAAGGCTCCTCACTCTGAACCACTCACTGACAAGTGCTTCAGCTGATAAGCAAGTTTGTCCTGCCCCTGGACTGCCAATGCCATTAGGTCTCTGCTGGCCCTATGCTGATGGAGACTTCTTTAAGGACAGAAATGAGCTTCATAGTAATTCATGTTCAACCATAGAAAACAACACTGGTGAAACTTCATCTGCTCCAAATTTGAAATATGGAAACAGTAGTGTGGAAGAAAATTTAACAGATGAAAGTGATTTATCAGAAAATGAGAAAGCAAATGATAGTTTACTTAGCTATTTTAAAAGGATGGACCTGAACTTAAAGCCAGAAAAAATAGAAAACATTGAAGAATCTTTCACTGAGGAACCAAATGAAGTATTTCCATATCCTGATTTTCTCCCTCCTCCTTTCAATGCTCTGGACTTGCACAAATTAGCCCTCTCAAAATCTGAAAATTGGAGAGCAACAGTGGACCCTCCAGAAAGCTCTGTTGAACACTTGATAACTCGTTTACTAGAACTGGAAAGATTACAACACACGACTGTACAAAAAGAAAGGCCAAGACCACAAACTACTGTCTGTACTCCAGCAGTTACTGAACGACCCTCTTCCTCCAAAGCTATACCAAAAGTGAGACAGCCAAAACTTTCTGACTCTTTGAGTCTTCAGATGTCTTGTGTAGATAAAAGTCGAGAAAAAAGAAAAAACAATTCTGGTTCTTGCAAGCTTGAACAAAATGCTTCAAAATGGAATTGGAGCAATGCTGGCAAATGTAACTGGAATTCTAGACCACCATCTCTAAAAAGTTCATCCACAGCAAAACAACTGATTGCAACTAATGATTTTAAGAATCCTAAAAGTTCCATTTTAAATCCATGCCAAGAACTCTCATCCAAGCCTACTACTGCCCAAACAACTCAATCACTGGTTAAAATGGTCTCAACAAGATGTCTGCCACCAAGGTCTCCAATACCAGTTTCACCGATACCTCTGTCTTTT